CCAGGTTCTCTTAACAAACAAGGTTGTTTCCCCAAAATAACAAAGTTCAGCTCATTTTCAGTTCCCGAGGAGGGCTTAGCTGGGCTCATCACACCTCTGATGGCTTTGTTGCTCATGAAGGAGCTTGTAGGTATAAGAAATTGTAATTTTATAAAAATAGAATTATATATATTTGCAGAATAATTAATAGCGTGTCTAAATAATTCACTGACCTCTATTAAACCATAAGCATTGGTAAAATGCTTGTCTTCTTTTTTGTTGTTTTTGCTGAAACTTAGAAGTGAATGCTTTCTTTTTAAAAAAGAATGCCCTCTCAAAATAAATTGAATTTGAGATGCATTTGTGAATACGAGCACCTCGGGGCTCTCCGTGGGAAAGCCCGTGGCAGAGGAGGCAGAGGAAGATTATTTGGTTTATTTTTTTTTGAATGGTGCTAAGTCACTAAACCTAGCACCATGGAAATAAAGTTCTGACTTGAATCCACAAAAGCAAGAAATTCAAAGTGCGAGGAAGGCGCCCGAGCGAGGCGTCGCCTTGGTTGTGCCTGCGCAGACCAGCACAAACACGCTCGGCGTGCAAGTGGGGTGAGTCCAGCAGTGCCGGAGCACCCCTAACGTTTGAATGTCTTGCCTCTGTGGGTTTGTAATAACCCCAGTTACTGCTTTGAGACTATTTTTGCATGTAATTTACAATAGAGATGTGCAGTTTATTTTTATTTTTTTGTTGACTTTTTTTTTCTATGTGAAGAAAAAGAAAAGTGTATTAAAACTTACAAGTGATCAACCATCGTATTTCTGGCAACACCACAAGACAGCATCTGTTTAATTACAAGTTTAACAAATAAGATCAAATTAACTGTATGACATGAAATGGATTGCATCCTGTATGCTGTTCAGCCCAAATCCTTTTTTTTTTTTTTTTTTTTGGTCTGTTATTCTTAATGTTTAATAAACTTTTAAATTTTTCTTCTCTCACCTGTGTGCTTGCTCTGGTGTGTCGGGTCGGGCAGAGGGCTTTGCCGGGGGCGGGGGGTGTATACGGGTTAATTTTCCTCCCCCATACGCTGGTCTGTGAGCGCCCAGAGCCTCTGGCCCCGGCTGCGTCCCACGGGGGGGCGGACCCAGGTAACGGGGGG